GAAAATGAGAGTGTTGCCCATGAGGGAAGATCTTTGGTTTTAGTCTGTGAGCAGTGTAAACACCAACCTGTGATCCAGATCGCCAGGTGTTAGTATTAGCACAATCTTTTCGATCAGACACATGGTCGAATGACGACACACGTGGTACTGAAGGCACTTCCAGTTCAACGGGGAAGTGTCTTAGACTGGAAAAAATGGTTTAATACTTAAGCAATATAGAGATATGCGAAGATCTAAGAAATATTTTTGCATAAAGCGAATGTTTACCCGCTACTTTTTGCTGGTGGAGCATAGACCGGTTGAGGACGGCAAGGTTGTGGCCTTATCGGCGCCGGCTTTTCCAAGGAGGCCATCTTTGCAACGCTAAAAAAACAATAAATCCATTCAAATGAAAGTTAAATTTTCTATGTTGAAACCTCTCAAAGAAATTTGCTTGCACAAAGTGAATTCTCTTGAGGAAAATATACTTGCATAAAGTGAGTGGATCTTAAAGAGTGCAACGAACAGTGGTCCACATTTACGGGTCACAATTCTTTTTTTACATCCGCCAATAAAAGGCTAAATAGTGGTTGAAATCCCACAAATCTCCCTATTATTATTGTTATCTGTGGACTTCTGCTTTGTATATGTTCTCAAAAAATTCCTCACTATTTATTCAAAATTAGGACGGTGAGAGACAGACATTGTGTGGTCATTCACTTCTCCGGTTTGAAGCAAAATGATCAATTTTTCTGGATCAACTAAAGTAAATGCCGCTTTTCCTACCAGAATGATTGATGTCGCCTTTCTCAAAATTTTGCAAGCATCCGCAAATTTTATGGATATTATCCCACAATCGAGTTTCTGCGCTCAATTGTATTTGATGTAATACTTATCCATATTGTTTTTGTAGAACAATGTCGATAATAGCTAGCAAACTCGCCAGTAGTCTATATGTCACGGCACGGCTCTAGATTTTTTTAGAGGGAAAAAAGTGCCAATTTGTTTTGTGAGGGCAATTTTTAGTGCTCAAGCGAAGCAAATCATCTAACAGGAGGTTGCAGCAAGATGAGATTCCTGCCAGTGATTTGTTTCAGGACAATCTCTTTTGCTTAACAATATGCAGAAGTTGCGGTGGAGATGTGTACCTTTACTAGTAACTGTCAAAAATCTTTCAAAAAC